CTCCCCCTCCCCCTCCCCCTCTCCTCCCCTTCTCCAGAATCGGTTCCCCCGGCATCCAAATCCAGCCGACTCTCATGATTCACCACCAAAAACGAGCAAAACACCACCGTCGCGCCAACCCAATACGCCGGACTGGCATACTCCCCCTGAATGACCATCTGGCCCACCAGCGACAGCGGGATCGTCAGACTCAGGCCGACAGTCACGACCAGCGGCGTGGTCAGGAGCATGGCGTAGGCCCAGCAGAGATCCGACAGGAGGGAGGCCAGCGCATTGACCCAGATGATGGTCCAGACGCGGCCGGAGTCGGGCCACGCGAGGGGTTCCACGCCCAGGGCGTGGAGGACCAGGAACCCGGGCCACAGCAGCACCATGTTCAGGAGGCCGACTAACCCGAAGAAGAGCTGCATGTTGACGCGGGACTCGTCGCCGACCTGTTTTTTCAGGACGATCGTGTACACCCCGTACATGACGGCGCTGAAGGCGGCCATTGCGTCGCCGAGGGCGATTTCGGTGGTCGTTTTGGGGGGGAAGGTGCTTCCCCCGGTGGGGTCTGCGTCTGCGTCTGGGGCGGGGGCGGGGGCGGGGGAGGAGATGTCCAGGCGCGAGATGATGATGATCCCGAGGAGGGAGGCGATCACGCCGAGGAGTTTGCGGGGCGTGAAGCGTTCGACGCCGATGAGGGCGCCGAAGATGAGGGTCCATACGCCTGGTTTCTCATTAGTTTCCTCTAGAGTGTGGGGGGAGGGGGGGAGGGAGATGGGATTGAGGCTGGGATCTGGGACTGTGCTGGATGTAGACGTACCGCTCGTGGAGGTCAGGATCGTGGTACTCCCCACCGTTGTATACTGTAAACATGCCATGGCGAAGTAATTGGCCTATCACCGAGAATTTCAATCACACATGTCCGGTCCCCTCAACGGTTCTCTCCCTCCTTCATGCACCTTGCAAAGAGATCAACATCGCACTTACAGTAAACTACACCCTCACGTTAGCTTACTTTCCCCAAACCCAACAACCTCCCTCAAAGACAGAAAACTCACCCATAGCAGACAAAACTGAAAACTCAGCTTCGCCGTCTCCTTCAACCCCAACCTGGACGACGAACCCCAGCCCCCCGGGCTTCTGCCCTCCCGCTCCAGAATCCACTGCCCCTCACTATGGCCATCATGCGCATCCAGATGCTGCAACAGGCTCTGCACCGACCGGATTCGGTACAGCTTGCCGGCGCGCCAGAGCCGAAACACCCGGCTCGCAATAATGGAAAAGAGCGGGAGGATGAAGATGGAGGTGTTGACGTAGGTCACGAAGAAGGGTTTAGAGTAGGTGTTGTCGGCGAAGATGGTCTACCTCTCCTCTCCAAATTAGCGGAATGCGCTTTGCCCCTGCGATAATCGCAGACAAATCAGGAAACATGGGCTTGGGGGGGGGATATGTACACTGGCCAGGAAATTCGAGGCCGTCCATAAGAAGACCACGATCAGTAGTAATGCGATCCCTAGAGTTCGTCGGCCGCCTGGCGTCAGGCCTGAGGTTTGCGGGTTGAAGGATGTTGAGGGCTCCATTCTTAGGTTGGAGATACTCCCTCTTGAGCCAATGTGTGAGAGTGTGAGGGTGTTGGGGTACGGTGCACGCGCTTCTGGCTCAGAAGAGAGAGCGCACGAAGGGCACGAAGAGCACGAAGAGGGGAAACGCGGCTTTTCGTTCTTGTTTGGTTCCGAGATGTCGAGATAAGAACCTAATTCAACCTCACCCTCCCCGCTTGCGCAATTGGAATAGGCAACGGAACCTCGCTCCGGAGACCGTGCAGGAAGAGGCCCACCGGGTAGTTAACAGGTCATCAACTTGATCTAGTCATGAGGGCAGCAGAGAAGGCCGCAAGGAGTGAGCCAGCTTAGCGCGTCGACAGCAATAAGCCAATCCCAATGACAAGGGGGGGGGCCAAGCAGGCGGTGCGATAAGCAGGGAGGATTGACCGGGGAATTTACTGATAACTGACTTAACAGGTAAATGTTGGGGGAGAATCAAGGCGGTGTAACCCGATAGGATCCCGCCAAGCATCACGAGATAACCGGGATAAGCACGCGACTGCGTGAGTAACTGCACTACTAGTGTAACAGTGCGAATTGCCCCTCAGACTCCTACAGTACGAGACACACACAAAGACAAATCATCATTAACCATCAATCAATAACACCCCATGCGAGCAACAAACCGGCAAAAAGACAGGAGCGTGATACATCAAGGGCACCCGCAATGTATATACAGGTGCGAGGGAGACAACAAGCAGGAAGTTCGTAGTCCGCAAACCAAACCAGCCGAAGCGCAGCGTTTCTTCAAAGTTAAGACAGAGTTGTAGTATCGTTCCAAAATCATGGTCTAGCGATTAGGGGTATTTAACAGGCGCAACCGTCGCGGTCCCCGTCCAGGTGGATGTTGATAGGGTCGCTGAACTCCCCACTGAACTCTTCGGCTTCTTCTTGGGCCAGAGCGCTTCGAGCGATGACTACGTGGGACGAGGTTTAGTACGGCCGTAACGCAAGGGACACACCGGCGGGCGGGAAACTCACCCTCAAAGGCCTGCTCCACGTTGATCGCCTCCTTGGCGCTGGTCTCGAAATAGGGAATGTTGCCTTTCGACTGGCAGAAGGTCATCGCTCGCTTGGAGGAGATCATCCGTCGGCTTTCCTCCGCATCGATCTTGTTACCAATCACCACCTGCCAGCACAGTGTCAGTGACCGCACCCCAGGACATCAAGCACAGCACATCAAGCGCAAGCTCAATCACCACCATCCCACAGGGACTTACGAAAGGGAAATTCTCCGGATCCCGAGGACTAGCCTGGATCAAAAATTCATCGCGCCAGCTGTCCAGCGCCTCGAAACTCTTGGAATTGTTCACATCGTATACCAGCACGCAGCAGTCGGCACCTCGGTAGAAAGCGACCCCCAAGGACTGGAAGCGCTCCTGTCCCGCGGTATCCCAGATCTATAATCGCCAAGCAGTTAGTATGCATTCTTCCAACTGACAACCACAGCGAGCTAGGAGGCTGGTATTGAAGAAGCGAGAAGAACATGCCTGCATCGTCACCAAACGGTCGTCCACCAAGACCTCCTTGGTGAGGAAATCGGCGCCAATTGTGGCCTTGTAGCTCGCGCTGAATTTCTTGTTGACCTGTTGGACGGGAAAGAGGGTCAGCGAAATGAGGTTCAGGCGGGTTGCTGCTGCTGTTGCTGCTGCAGAGAGAGAGAGAGAGGTGTCACGGACATATTGGTTCATCAAACTCGTTTTACCGACACCGCTATCACCCAAGATGATCACCTAGAGACAAGCAAGAGCCGAGATTTAGTTTTTGCGACTTGGGAGAGGTTGTTGTGTTGCGGGTTACCTTCAACAAGACCTTCTTCCGTGACGACATGGTGGAGATGCCTCAAGGTATTACCGGTTCTATGCGGTATGGAGGAGACGCCAGCGGCAGGAGAAGGGCGATTGAGAGGAGATGCCGAGGGGGAGGGGGAGGGTGGTAGAATTGTTTATTTCTGTGGTGGGAGGTGGTAAGTGGAGTGAAGGGGGGGGGGGGAGATTAATTAGTGTAGTTTAGTAGTTTACCTGGTTTGTGGTTGGGCCTGGACGGTGAACTGCAATGGAATGAGTGAGTGGATGGGGCGGGCAACTGATGATGCACGTACGAGGGTCCGTCCGGGCGGTGGAGATGGCGGTCTGCTTGCAGATTGATTGCATGTTTCCATTGTTGTTTACCCACCCCCACTTAATCCACCGTCATCATCATCGCCGGTTATCATCCCTCACCCTCATGCCTTTCAAGGGACCTGCAGACCGACCTGAGAGACTTCATCAGGTCCCCTCGTCCCCTCGTCCCCTGTTCAAACATCTCCAACGCACCGTCATGTATTCATGATCCTTCCCCCTCCAATCCTCACCAAATAGACCAAACTAGTCCATATTTCGCCCTTATCACGATACTGTGGTATACCACCCACCACCCACTATCTATCACTGAATGGCCCACTGGCGGGAAGAATACTCCGCCGCACTGGCATCTCGCGATCGCCGCGAGAAAGCCAACACCGCAATATACGATGCCTGTATGCTTTCTCCCTTTACCCATGTCCCCAAAGTAGATCCCTTAGACATCCTAACCCACCATAAACCACCCAAACAACAGTAGCCTCCCCCAAAGACAATCTAACCCAAGCAAAAAGACACAAAATTAGCCGACCGAACCGCCGCCTCCACCACCACCACCAGCAGCCTCCAGAGCTCCTCCGTCGCAGCAGCGGGCGAAAGTCCGCGCGCTCCCAGCACAAAACACCACCCCCAACTCACACCTACCCCCAATCCCCCATCCGGAACAGCACCAGCACCAGCACCAGCACCAGCACCAGCACCACCCCACGAAACGCAAACCCTCCTCGCCGACCTCGCCGAGGCGCAACGCTCCCGCGCCGAGCTGCAGGCCCAGCTCACCCGGGCGACGGCGGAGCTCGAGCGCCTGCGCAAGCGCAACGCGCAGGACGGGCGGCGTCTCCGCGCGTTCGAGCAGGAGGTCGCGCATCTACAGATGCGGTTGAAGGATCGAGATGAGGAGTTGAGGGGGAAGGCGAAGTTGTTGGAGGTATGTTGCTTGGCGTACTCACTCCCTTGATTTGCTTGGAGGCTCTTTTTCTTGGTTTGATGTTGAGCCGAGTGCCTGGCTGACAGAGCTATGTGGTGGCGACAGGATTTCCAAGATGAGATGGCGTCGCTGAATCTCCAGCTCAATATGGCCGAGGAGCGATCCGCCCGGTTCCAGCAGGAAAACCAAGATTTGGTGGATCGCTGGATGGCCAAGGTTGGGCAGGAGGCGGATGCCATGAATGCGAATTCCAGGTTCTCGTAGAATGGCTTCACCACTGGACACCCAGATGTTATGGAGGGGAAAAATTACAGGGTGGAGTTTTTTTTCTTCTTTCATGCCAGACTTTTTTGGGCTTCTCTTATCATTTTCCCCCAAAACCCAAGCATCGAGCTGGGTGGATTTCTTTAGCCTATGTGTCAGAGCTTTCTATGCACAATGATACCCATGAACTAGTTATTCACAGTAGCAGTTGGTCCAGGAGACAAATCCAGGCTCACAATAACCCAAGAACCCAGACTGGACCAAGAGCGGAAACTGACGATGAATGCAAAGAGCAATGCGCTGGTTTAGCATAGATGCCGGTCCGAAGAGAAAAAAGGTGGTATCATGCCTGGACCCCCAGGGTATTCCTCCCAAAATCGAACCCAGGGTCACCCAAGGACAAATGAAAACTATGTAAAGAAAAAAAAAAAAAAGGAAATGGACGTATTTATCACACGTGTCCAGGGAGCCATCGATACAAGAAAGAATATGAATCATCGCGGTCGTTACCCAGGAGTTGCCGTGACAATCATGCACCCGTTTGTTGCAGTTGAACCAAGAATCCTTCACCCTTGGCTTTCAACAAAGGCCTTCAGCTGGGAACTATCCTTCCTGGCGATGAAATATGTGCCGCCAACATCGGTCCAGCTGACGCTGTTGGACCAGTAGTTTCGTTGTTTGACTGTGAGCAGGTTGATGGGCGAATTGAGGTTGCGGGCTTGAATCTTGTGGCCCGCCGGGACAAACGACTTGAGTGACACAATCTGACAGCCCTCCTTCATGTCCAGGAAATGGTTGATCAGCTCGTTGTTCAGCTGCGGGGTGAACGCCTGGTTATTGATCAGGACGACGTCCGCCCGCTTCAGAACATCGACGATGCTCTGCTGCTTCAAGAAGTCGCCGCGGATCAGATGCGTCTTCCCCGGGGCAATGCCCCATAGCCGACACCTCGCGCGGAACTCCGCTTGTTGGAGTTCGGCGAGCTCACAGGCATTCTGCATCATCTCGCAGCCCCAACTTTCGCACCCAATCTCCAGCGCTGCCTGCAAAACCACATTGCCCACGCCGGAGCCTAAATCCACAAAGACCTGCCCGGACTTCAAGCCCGTCTCCTTGAAGATGGTGCTAATAAATCGAGGAAGCAGCTCCCCATAAACGTTGTCCGTCCCGTTCTCATACTGCCGCAGGGACTCGACCCGAGGCGAGACGGTGCGCGAATATATCTGGTTCAAGATTCTCTCCACCAGCGGCAAATTGAGACGGCCCATCGAATCGAGTTTCTTGGCAATGCTCCCGTTGCGCCTCAGTCGTGTGATGGCATGGTTGTAGTCGGCCACCGTTTCCCGGAACTGCGCTTCGGACGATTGCGCCAGGGCCCGCCGGAGTCGGCGCTTGATCCCATTCGTCTCATCATCAAACTCGTCCACCTCATCTTCCGGGATGAAATTCTGAGCCACAATCTCGATGACTTGAACGATATCGTCGATGGGTTTGAAATCGTCGTTGTCGCGGGGAACAACAAGCTTATATCTACATGCGAGAAAATGTTAGCCGACGTTCAGACGAAACGCAAAACATGGGGTGAAAAGCCAAAAATCCAAGAAAAAGGACCCAAAGAAAGAAGTCCTCGTACCTTTCCTTCGGAGAGTTACTCGGATACTGCAAGGAGATCTCCGGCAACGGCTTCGACGCTCCAAACGCCGGCTTGAAATTCCCCTCCTTCTGGGCCGAGGTGATCTCCGCGGCATGGATCATGGGAAGCCGTCGGGGTCCACCACCACTGCTGCTGTGGTCCTCGACGAAAGCCTTCAGTGAGCGCACGCGCCGATGCGGGTCCGGCTCCGCGCTGTCGCCCGTCCGGGCCCGTTTACGGACCTCGAAGGACGATGTATCGGAGTCGCTGCTGGCGTCATCGTCGCTGGAGAGGCGCAATTCCGGGGTTTGACGCTTGCGATTCCCTAGGCCGGGGGTGCCGTGCCGGCGCTTCGAGGACGAGGAAGGGAGTTCGTTGCGATCCCGTGAGACGGACCGACTGGCAGACGCCTCTCGAGTTTTGAGCTGGACGGATGGCGTCCGCGGTGTGGGATTGTGTCCGGGCGTATGCGTATGCGAGGGTGAGCGGGAGGTAGGAGGAGCGGTTCGGGTCTGGACGACTTTGCGAATCTGGGGCTTCTTGGGCTGCAGTGAGAAGGCCCCTCCTTTTTGGAGGTGGTCGAAAAATCCCATGAGGGTTGGAGGGGCAGGACGAGGCGGCGGGCGGGCGGGTCGCAAGTCGCACTTTTTTGTATGAGAGCGGGAGAAGGTGATATGATGCAAGAAATACGGTGAATGCAAGTATTGACTATACAAAGTGTAAAAGGGGGGCAGAAAAAGACAGCCTATGATACGAGGTACAACATATGTACGGGGGACTTTTTCCCCAAGAAAACAAGAAAAAAAAAGAACAGGAGTAAAGAGTGTATGTATGTAGATGATATGAAGAATAATATGCAGAACGGAAAGGTTGCCGTACAAACAAAGCGGGTTGACGGCGGGCGGCGGGCGGCGGGTGGGCGGCGAGGAGGGAGAGAGAAAGAGGGAAGGGAATTAAAAAAGCCCGCGGAGCCGATTAACTCCAGTGCTTGAAAATGATATCCAGAAACGGTGGGCGGTGATGAGGACTCGAGGGAAGAGGGAATTTGAGGGTCGAGGGTCGAGTCCGCCAAGACCCCGTCCGATGCCAGTTGCCGCCCGCCACTTCGGATCCGATCCTCTCAGCTGCGCCCTTGCCTTAGTGTGAAAGAAGAGTGAGCTACTAGTGAGTCTAGTCTGCATCTCTGCATCTCTGCATCTCTGCATCTCTGCATCTCTGCATATGACATGGGCTTCCGTTTCACCTCACCTTTCATCAAAGCAAACAAGACAAGGTGGATGCGGTTTATCAACTACTTATATTGAAGTACATCCAACTGAACAGTAACACACGCAAAACAACTGCACAACAGTAGGTATCGTGAATTTTGAGTGAGGGTATTTACAAGAATCCAGACTGCGAACAACCATCATTTTGTGCACCATTACACAATCCCTCGGCGCTTCTATTTCTGCTTCTTCTTCGCAACCCGCTTTTGCGCCCGGATATCCTTCTTCATACGAGAATCCACGATCTTGTACCGACCCTTGACACCCTTGGGACGACCCGAGATACCCCGGTTGGCACCCTTGGCCACCACCAGCTTCAGTTGCGTCTTGGGCTTCTTCTTCGTGGCACGCGCCATCAACCTCGCGATCGATTGCGCCTTGTCTCTCTCACTCAGAGCCTCGTCATCCGCCAACAAGGCGGACTTCTTGCGCAACTTCTCCAATCTCTGCGCAGCCTTGAACTTCTTACGGCCCTTGGCCTCCATCACCTTCTTGATCGGGCGAGCGTTGATAGCACGCCACTTCTCCTTGATGGCGGCAGCTGCCGCCTTGGTGATAGGCCGGTTCGGGGCACTGTGCTTGCCCTCATCGTCAAGGAACCACTCCGGCAGACCATCGACATCCCGGAAGGCGTAGCGGTTGAACCCGTCGTCAACCACGTCATTCTGTTTCTTTTCACCCGTAGCCATCTGTTGCGCCAGAGCCATGGCCTCTGCGGTGATGATATCGATGTCTAGTAGTGTAAATGTTAGTATCCATACCCTTGACCGACGATAACCATGAGGTTGTAGACTTACCAAGCTGTCCATTGGCCTTCCGCGGGTCCTCGAGCTGAACAGGCTCCTCATCCTCAGAGTCTTCAGCCTTCTTCTTCGAGTTCTTGGCCTGCTTGGTCTTACGACGGTTGTCGACCCCAACAGCACTGTCCTCCTCAGAATCCCCCTCAGAGTCCTCCTCCTCAGAGTCTTCTTCGTCCTCCTCTTCATCATCGTCTTCTTCCTCTTCTTCCTCGTCTTCCACATCATCAATATCCTCGAGACCTTCGAACATGTCCTGGTCGAAAAATAGAGCGGCGTGGTTGGAAAGCGATCCGGACTTCGGGGCTTGCACGCCATTTACCGCAGCATTAGTCTCCTCTTCTTCATCGTCGCTATCTTCCTTATTCTCATCCGAAAAGCCATCCCACTCGTCAGCCTCGTAGCCCTTTCTAGCTTTCTTGGCCCGCAATTTAGTGTCCTTATCCTCCTTGCGCTCCTGGTACCGCTCATACAAAGTGTCCAGTTCGCGCTCAAGGCGGTCACCCTCTTCGTCGCTCTCCTCAATATCGGAATCGTCGTCGATGTCTTCACTGTCGCTTTCGATCGTAGCCTCCTTGCCAGCTGCAATGACATCACGGGCATTATTCCGGTCGACGGGCTTGATGGAGAAGGTAGCATCGTCTCCACCGGGTCCCAGCTGTTCCATACCGATGTCCATGGGCGTCGTCATGTGCATCTGCATACGAACAATTTCCTTGCGCTTCTTCTCATTCTCCTTGCGTCTCTCCCTCTTCATCTTGGAGGTTTCCTTCTCGCGGAGCCGGAGCAGTTCTTCCTGGATAGCCAGTTCCTCATCCATGGGGGCGATCTCCGCCACCTCTTCGGCTTCCTCGCCCTTCTGTTGCTGTCCCTTCTTCGTGACGAGGCCGAACTTCTCCCGGACCTTGAGACGCCATTTGAGCAAGTTGCGGAATTCCTTCTTACCCAGGACCTTCAAATCATCACAGCATTTGCGGATCTCGTCTGTGGTCTCCTCGAGCCGATCCAAGGTGGCGAGCGCGAGATCCCCACCGGGGGTTTGTGTGAAGCTGAGCTTGTTGTATGAACCGAGAATGGCGATCGGATCGGTGGTGTTGATGAATTCCGAGACCGAGCATTCCTTGAACTGTGTGTAGTCGCCCTCTTCGTAACCTTCTCTCTTTCTCTTCTTCTTCTCCGGGTTGAAGACCTTGGCCTCGTTGTTGGGAGTCGGGTCCGCGAGTTCGGCGAAGACGTGCTTGGGGTCGAGGAACTTGGGGTCCAGGTGCTTGGGGGCCTTGTAGCCGCGGCAGACGACGAAGATTTCGGCCGACACGTTTCGGGAAGACGGGGGTTTCGTAGCCTCGACCGAGGTGAAGAGCTGCTTGAACACCCACAGCAGGGGGTTGTAGTCCTTCGATCTGAAAACCTTGGTCACGAATGTACCGCCCTCGGCCAAGAACTCGGTCGCCAGCTTCATGGACTGCAACACCAGCTCGGA